GTTGACTTCTAAACCAACAGGTCGCGAGTTCGAGGCTCGGGTGTTCCACACTTCGGGCTTGGGTATGGCTGGCTGACGACGGCTAATAAGCCAGAAATGGCCATTCCAGTCTCCCTTGTCTTTGTCGGTAATACCATTCTGTCTATATATATATATATATATATATATATGTATATATATATCGGTCCCCTTGCTTAGCAGTACTTTTCTACCTTCGCCGAATTTTTAACTTCGGTTATTTCCTCCGCTTTGATTAGGAAATTAAGCTGCGGTTGTCTGACTCTTATGCGACCTGAAGCCGACGGTCTGTGTCTTACAAGGAAAAAAACAAAAATTCTCACCTCCTATGTTCATAAATGCATTCCATCATTGCACATAGTCTACATATAAATATTTGATTTCTTTAAACGTTTATTTTGCAGTAGTCCATTGACTTACTATGAAGGCACAAACAGGCGTTCATAATGACATAATTTGACTTTTGCCTTGTTCATTAGGGTGTACTTTATGGCTTCTCTAGTACTTATGTGCATCACGCCACCTCGCAGTTAATTTTCACAGTTGAAATATTTGGCACTTACCGTTCCTCTCTCCAATTGGTTGTTCGTTCCTGAGGCCCATGTGTTGTCGCGAATTCGCAAGTGGTGGGTTATTCACTTACCTTTTATTTATTTAGAGTTACTATTTGTTTATTTTTTTAATTATCGCGCCCAATCCCGTTGCTATTCAGAGGTGTATACGAAGAATTTCAGCGGAAATCTACCTAGTTTTCAGTTTTGTTGCATGCAGCTCGCTCCTTCTCTGCGGTGAGGGCCCACCCTTAACACCCCTATTGCCGCCATTGCCGTATTACACGAGCCTGTCGAGTGCTTATTCGGCGGATCCAAGAGCCTGCTTGTTTTACAGTTAACCTCTGCTGGAAAACGTTCCACTGACCAACATCTATGGGCGAGCAGGGTAACCCCACCCCCCACCCCCCTGTTAGAGTTTCGGAGATGTTCCGTTTTTCCGACGTTGCTGTCGTCTCTGTCTAGCGCATACGGTCATCGCCACTGCAGGAAACTTGGCTCTTTTCCCTTGGCATCCACGGGATGGGCTTGTCCCAGCTACCAGACGCTCAACTATTCCCCTTTACGCCCACACCATTAGGGCTTTTCTTTGCACCTTCGGCTTTGGGAATTTCAAAGTCTACCTCAACAGTCTAATTGCTCGGTTTGCAGACCTACTGCCCCTCAAGAGCACCAACGTCTTGATGATTCATTTCGGTTTTTCCTCTAAGTCAGGCCTACCTGGAGTAATTTTAGACTGAGAAATATGTAGGGTTCACCGGATCAGTGGAGTTGGGTGACTGACGCTTCGGAGGGCTTGGCCGGCTCTCCACAGGCAAAGCGTTTTGCGTGAAAAATCGGCCAGGATTTTGAACAAACGGCCGAATTAGTTGGCCTTGGGCCGATCGATTTTTTATTCTTTCGCTGCCTTGGCCTTCTGCACTTTGTTTGTGTGTGTTTGGGGCCTCCTGTGTTGCGTATAGTCACTCCAATGGGGATCGATTGCACCTGTGCTCCCCTTTTGGGTGAATTAGTCGACGGACCGTGTTTGCCCGGTATTTTTAAGCTCCATGTGACCGTCTTGTCTTGTTAACGATGTATGTATTGAGATAGGACTTCACAGAACGCAGGAAGGTCTAGATACCTGTTGATGGAGTTAGCCTCTGAGTAACGAGCCCAAGTATCAGAAGTTCTACCCTTGAGGTGCCCCGGCTTACAATGGTTGTTCATTAGAAGTCAAAACTATGGCCAGTTTCTCCGATGTGAGTCGCAAGCTGTGATTTCGGGTCTAGTGCTCGTGTGCGCGGGTCAGTAATTTCCGACCGGTTTCCCCAACGAACTGTACCTTCTCAACACAGCCCGAACCAACAGCTGACTGACTTATGGTCTGTTCGTCAGCGTTAGTACTCTTTAGCCATGCACTCTACTGTCGTTATTAACCAAATTTTACCTCTGCCGACTGAATCACGTCTTGTTTTGCTTAACCGCCCGAGCGGGACACTACCATGGTCTTTTTAGCGACTATAAAATACCCTTTTATCACCTACTTGCACTGTTCAGTTTATGCCCTCTTCCCCTCCTGAATATTTCCGTCGTAGTTTACGTGACTTTGACGCAAGTGGTAATTATTTCAGCTTCGTACACCCTACCGGCGATTTTTGGGCAGGTGTTGTACGCATATGCACGTGAGGGTTGCTCAGGTAGGCCTATGTACTGATGTGAAGTACGTTTCCGTTTACGTTGGAGTATGGTCTACAGTAAGCAGCCTGATGTCTGTTCAATTCGTCCTTTTATCGCAGTTTGGCCGGACAAGCGTCCCGCTAGTTGCATCAAGTCCTCTCACCCAAACTGTGTTCATGTTATTGGAAGGGTGGGTGGGTGTGCCCCCAAACGGGACACGTGGTGGAGACGCTGGGCCAATACGCGGGCCATATCGGGCTCTGGTGGACGTTAGCAGAATTTCATACCTTAATAAATACCAGCATTTCGGGGTGAGGTGGCAGACCCTGTTGCCGGCAGACGTCGCGCACACTGGGACCCCTGTCACCACCCCATTGTTGTTGTTTGTCAAAACCCTGGCCATTTGCTTTGTGGACCAGGGGGTGTGGAGTGGAGCGCCAAAGTGTGGGCTCGACCGTGCCATCCACCTGCGCCCTACCTCGCCTCCAGTCTTCTTGACTTTGTCTTGACACTGGGTCCAGGAGAGGGAGGAAGAGAGAGTGCGGCAAATGCTGTGCAAGTCTACCACAACTATAAACTAATTCAAGCACAAGCCGCCGCTTCTGCTGTAGAGAATACGATGGACATCGTCGGATGCGACGATCGAACTGTCGGGTGAGTGGGGTGGGGAGCTGAGTATTTAGGATCATTT